AAATCAATCTATTTTTGTACTATATGTCCCAGAGTTGGAGATTTAGAAGAGAAATGAGAGGTTGTCATTCAGAAATAAATGACATAGAAGCTACAGATTGGGTTTTCTGGGCACCACACCATTCTTTAACTAGACAAGCCCTCACTTTTTTATCTGATTTGGTTTTGGTGGAATAACAGTGGTCCTGACCAGGTGCTGTAGACCCATCTCTCTCTGCTACTCCCTACTAAAAATAACTATAAACTCTGGGATTAATGAAAGACAAAAGCAATGGAGAACTCTGAAAGGTGGAAAGAGGAATATGACATTGTCTGGGACCCTAGCATCAGGATTCAACAAAGTATCTGAGCGAGCATGTTAAGTTTCCCACCGGAGAGAAGAAGGTGACCTAGGCCTGCTGTTTCCTCGCACCCAACCTGGCGACAGGAGGAGGCCCAGCAAAGCTCACTCCTGCTCCGTATTGAAGGGGAGTCCCCTCCACAACACCAGGCGAGGCTGGTACCACTGGTGAGGATGAGCTACCAGGAGACCTGCTATCAATACAGCCAGAGGAAGTGCTTCCTTCTCATTCCAAGAGATACCAGGGTGGATGTGGGTGAGGAGGATCAGCAAAGCGACCCCATGACTACCAGTGCACCACCCAGGGTCCTCTTTGTCCCTGAGGGCAGGAGACCCACTTCCCCACCCAGCGACAAGGACTCAATGGATTCTTAGTGTTCTTTGTACATAGTACAGCAGTGAACAGTAACATACTACTGATAACTGCAATAATATGGAAGAATTGCACAAATATCAGATAGGAGTGAAAAACACAGACATGAAATTCACACTGTATGGTTCCCTTTTTATAAATTCAAGAAGAGGCAAACGCTATTTATAATATTAAAAGTCAAGACAGTGTTTTGGAGAGGAGTCAGGGTAAGTGATGAGTGTACACACAGGGGTGGAACTGCTAGAGCTGGAAACTTTTATTTCATGATCTGACTTGTATCACATGAGTTCATGCACTTTGCAATCAATCTGCATGACCAGATCATATCATGCCTGATAAAATTAGATGTAACATTTATTGTGTATTCAAAGTATTTATAGAAGCATGGTTTTCCTTGAAAACAAAAACTGAAAATAAAAGTACATTAGCAGTATATAACTTTAAAAACATTATTAAGTCAATCAATTGAATATTACATAAACTTGAAAATATATAAGATAATTATATGTACACACACATGGATGTTTCCTACAAATGTATTATTCACTGAAAGAAGCTTTTCATAAAATCTTTGAAACATTTATATCTTACCATTTCTTCTTCATTATCTATAGAAAGCAGACTAGAGTTCTTTGAAGTACAGGCCAGCAAACTCTCTGCCCAAGTTCTTTTTTCCTTGCCAATGTAATAACAACTGTTGGAATATGTAATCCACTCCTCAGGACAATGGCCACAATGACGTACTAAATAAAGATATGAATTACTATGCAGAACAATATGAATGTTTACAAATGAAAATTAATTTACAAATTTGCAACAGTATAAACCTATATGTGCTTAACATATTTATGCATCCTTACAGGCTTATAAATATATGTTTTTAATAACCGAGTCAGTCATACACACATGCACAGACAAGGGTTAGCCTCTCATCCCTAACTGTGTTCCCATATAAACCAAACCAACAAACAAAAATACACTCTACACATGTCTTGAACATCACTGATACACAACTGCTTTTTTAGGATAGTAAAATTATTCATTTCATATCATCTCATAGCAGTAGGAAACTTCTGTTAATTGGGAGAAAAAGAGTAAAATGATTTTAAGTGAGTATTTCTACTTATTGGAGAAAAGGAAATGCTACCTTATAATCTTTGTTTATAAATATTTATGGCTGAATTTTATGGCTTATTTTCTACAAAAATGCCATCATTCTTTTACATGCCTTAAACCAGACACAAAATATAAATTGTACTAATATCAGAACGCTGAAAATAAAAGTGTACCTTTCTGGGTTCTTGTATTCAGGAAAGAATTGTTCTGCTCCAGGACTGTAATAGAAAAATTAAAATGAGTTTTATAAAAACTAATATCTAGATAAACTATAACAAGTTTAGTTTCTTACTTTGAAACTTTGTGTGTTATTTAAAATGGGGACAATCTTTAATAAAATTCACTTTTTCTATAAAAATAAATGACTAGATCTTCGAAAGAAATATTTTTAAAGACTTTAGCACAAAACTTCACCATCTCTTGTAGTATTTGACGTAACCACTTTCAAAAAATAATTTGTTTTTCTAAATACTTTTCTCCTATAGCATGCATCTGAATTATGAATTCAGAAAATACGTTGTATGTGTATGTGTGTGTATATATAGATATACAGAATACATACACACAAAAAACAAACACATATTCTCTACAATATTTTGTTATTTATGTTGTGAAAAATTCAGAATAACCATATTACTTTTGGGTCCAAATTATACTAATATCTGAACGTTGAAAATAAAAATGTACCTTTCTGGGTTCTTGTATTCAGGGAAGAATTGCTCTGCTCCGGTTTATCTACCGGAGAATTGCTCTGCTATGGTTTAT